TCGCTTGTGCCTGGGAACAAGCATCTCTTGGCCAGGGAAAGGCACCGCCAGGTCCTACTGGAGCATTTCCTGTGTGGAGAAAGACACGCTTTCAGAGAAGGCCCTCGAGCTGAGAAGTTTCCAAGAGGCCACCTCCAGGCCCTAAGTGGGAGAAACGCCCCCAGACCTAGCCTCCCGGCGTGTCTTCATGTGTCAGGCCCAACCCTTCTCACAGCCACCAGTGTTAACACCAGAGCCCAGTGTGACCTCCCCTTCACTGTTGCCATCTGTCCCCCATCCACCTGTTAGCAAATTTGCACGGAGGAGCTGCCCGTCCCAGCGTTACTGACCACCTGAGGCTACGCCTGTGGCAGCAGCACCGCTGTGTCGGTCATATTTTCTACTTTTGGACATTTAATAGGCTGTTTTATTGGTTTCATATGTTATAAGAGGACATCTTTTACCTGTCTTTACCCATGCTTATTTATTTTCTTAGGGCGGGCTTGTAGGAAAATACTTAGGGTGTCATATGAGATTTGAAAGGATCCTCCTGATACAAACTGTCAAACTGCTTTACAAAAAAGTCGTACTGGGGGCCAGCCGAGTGGCGCATTGCTTAAGAGTTGGCTTGGGATGCCAGCTCTGAGCAGCAGGGCCCCGGTTCAGATCCCACATGAGAGCCAGTGACACTTCCCTCTGCAGCTAAGATGGTGAACAACAGCTCAACTTGGAGCTGGGCTGCTGTGAGGCGACAGTGACCGCGTAGGCCTCAGCCCCTGCTGCAGTGGATTGCCGTGAGCAACTGTGAGTGGCTGGCAGCCAGCGTGAGCAGCCGTCCAGAGGCCGGTGACTGTTCTGCCTCACCCAGGAAGAGCACAATGATAATACCAACATGAGCCAGTGAAGCGACGTCCTCCACAACTAGACTGAAGAACAAAAGGACAGCAACTTGTCTGTTCCCTTTCCCAATTCCCCAATAAAATCTTTAAAAAAATAAGTCGCACTGGCTTCTGCTGCCGCCAGCAGTGTGCACGGGTGCCCCTCTCACCATGTGCCTGGCCGCAGCGAGGGTGACCGTTCCTTCACACTCAGCAAACTCAATAGGAGAGATGATGTTTTTTGCTTCCCCTGCATGTCTGTGATCCATGAGGTTTACTAGCTAAGTGTAGTTTTCCCTTGTGTGTATTTTATTTTCAGGTGGATGTCTACTTCAAAAAGTACTTGTCATTATTAATGCCAAGATCCAGGAAATGAAAGAGTTTATAGATTTCACCATTGATTTATTCATTTCACAGATATTCACCAGTGGCCCTCCTGTGCCAGGTGCTGAGAGCAGGCAGAGGAATGACACCAAATCCACCCTCTCGAGCACTCACTGGCGCCT